CAAATCTGCTGCAAAAGACCTCTTTAAAGTGTTGAAAAGCAAAGATGTCACCTTGAAGACTAAGGTGTGCCTGACCCAAGCTATGATTGTTTTCAATCGCTTTGTATGCATGCAAAAGCTGGACAATGAATAAGGAAGACAGAAGAATTGACACCTTTGAATTGTGGTTTTGGTGAAGAATATTGAATATACCACGGACTGCCAAAAGAACGAACAAATCTGCCTTGGAAGAGGTAGGACCAGAACGCTCCTTAAAAGCAAGGATGGTGAGACTATGTCTCACATACTTTGGACATGTTATGGAGGGATCAACCCCTGGAGAAGGACATCATGCTTGGTAAAATAGAGGTTCAGCAAAGAAGAGGAAGACCCTGAACGAAATGGATTGACACAGTGGCTGCAACAATGAGCTTAAGCATAACAATGATTGTGAGGATGGCACAGGACTGGGCAGTGTTTGGTTCTGTTGTACATAGGGCACCTATGAGTGGAAATGGACACAATGGCACCTAAAAACAACAACTCCCAAAGTATTCACTCCTCTAATCATTAGAGTCTAATGTAATGCTAAGAATATAAAGGTGACTAGGACACAGTTCTTTTTCTTCAGTCTCTAGATTTTATTATTATTATTTTTAAATTTTGTTTTAAGGTATAACGTACTGTCATGGATTAAGTTGTGTCCCCCCAAAATGTCTGTCAGCTTGGCTGAGTCATGATTCCCAGTATTGTATGATTGTGTTATCTGATGTGATTTCCTTATGTGTTGTAAACTGTATCACTGTGATGAGATTATATGTGATCTCCTTATGTGTTGTAAACTCTATCACTGTGATGAGGTTATACTGATGAGGTTGACAAGATTAGTGTCTTAATGCAATCTCTTTTGAGATTTGGGAACCTCATACCACCAAGAAAGCAGTGCCAGGGGCAGAGTGTGTCCCTTGGACCTGAGGTTCCTGCGCAGAGAAGCTCCCAGACCAAAGGAAGACTGATGACACAGACCTTCCTCCAGAGCCGACGGAGAAAACGTTCCCCTGGAGCTGACACCCTGAATTCGGACTTATAGCCTACTGGACTGTGAGAGAATAAACTTCTCTTTGCTAAAATAATCCACTTGTGGTATTTCTGTTAGAGCAGCACTAGATGACTGAGACACGTACATACAGTAAACTTACAATTATTAATTGTGCAGTTCGATGAATTTGCACCACTCAGGTTAAGAAGTAAGGTACTTACCGCATCCTAGAAGTCCTTGTTCCCCTTCCAAGTCATTTCCTTCATCAAAGTAACAACTGTTCTCACTCCTATCACCATCAATTCATTTAGTCTCTTCTCTAATTTCATATATATTCACTCTTACTGTATGTACTCTATATGTCTCTCTAAGGTTGTTACAAGTCTGACTTGATGGCAATGAGGTCATTAATAGGTTATGTCTCCTTGTTAGTTGTGTTTTACAAGAAATTTGTCCGTTTTATCTAAGTTGTCAAACTTATTAGCATATATTTTAACTTCTGTTTTTCTTAATCAGTCTTATTCTAGGGGTATATCAATTTTATTAACATCTTTAAAGAACCAACTTTTGACATCTGAATGTCTGCCTTTTATTGCAACATTTTCATTTTCAACTTTCTTCTTCATTATTACTTTCCTTCTACTCTCTTTGAGATTAATTTACTAATATTTTTCTAGCTTCTACATATTGAAGATTAGATAATTAACTCCAATCTTTTTTTTACTTTTATAGAAATGCAAGTAGAGCTATGGATTTCACTACTTTAGCTGTTGTATTTTTATTAGCATTGACTCAAAATATTTTCTAATTTCCATTGTGTTTTTCTCTTTAAACCATGAGTTATGTAAAAGTGTGTTGCTTGATTTCCAAACATTTGGGGATTTTCTAGTTATCTTTCTGTTATGGTTTTTAGTTTAATTCTGTTGTGTTCAAAGAACATACTCATTATGATTTCAACCTTTTCATATTTGTTGAAACTTTATGGCCCAGCATATGATTTATTTTGGTAAATGTTCATGTATGCTTAAAAATAATTTTTTGTTCTGTAGTTGTTGGTTGAACTAGCCTATCTTTGTTAAATTGCTCAAGTTATTTTATTTAATTTTGGGAGCCCTGGTGGTGTAGTGGTTAAGAGATTGGCTGCTAACCAAAACGTCGGCAGTTCGAATTCACCAGCCACTCCTTGGAAACCCTATGGGGGCAGTTGTACTCTGTCCTGATAGAGTCACTATGAGTTGGAATTGACTCCAAGGCAATGGGTTTATTTAATTTTGTTGTTAAAATCTTCTGTATCCAGACTTTTTGTCTTCTTGCTCTTTCATTTACTGAGTTATTTTCAATATCAGAAGTTTCTCATTGTTAACAATTCAAATGTGAAGAGATAACCTCCTTTGTCTTCTAGAGTCTAAATTTGACTATTAAAAAAAAGTTTCCCACTTTTAATTTTAATAATAACAATTATAAGGTATACAAATCCAAAATGAATATAAAACCCAAACAGATTGCTGCTACTTTTGATAATAACTATCACTGTATATTGATTATTTTTTAAAGTTTCAGTTTGATAATACAGTAAAACCTGTGAAAGCTGCATACCTGTCAGAGAAGGAAAACTAAAATATTTTCCACTAGAACGAGTGATAGATAAGTGGTAAGACTGCATCCTGTCAAAGGTGGAAAACTTGGTGAGACCGGAGAAGTGAGGCAGTCTGGTCGAGTTCTGGCTCTCACAGGTTTCACTGTACCATAAGGCATTGTTTCATTACAGTATGCAGAACATGAACAATGATGGTCAAAAATGCCCAGTTTCTTAAACCATGAGTTCTTTCATCACTGTAGCTCAACTGATTTTTTGGTCATGTTCACTGTAATAATAGTTTCAATTGTGTGATTTCTGAACTCAGAACATAAATAAAATTAGTCGTTCACCCTACTCCATTCGGTAAACCATTAAACAACTGTCTTAAATATAAACATGTTCCCTTCAAGTGAAACTGTGTAACTGTTTTATCCTTTACATACTAAGGTCCATTTTTCAGCCATCAAACTTAAGGAGTCTTCCCACTTAAATATTTTGCAAAGCTGCTCAAAATGTAATCATAAGACACTTCTGGCCTCACACCAGAATGAGGTGAGCTGGGAGGAACATCACTCTCAACAATTCAACCACAACCCAGACTAACTTCAAATTTACAACTTTTTTTTTTTTTTTAATGTGAATATTTCATATCTGGAGGCAGTTTCCAGACACACCAGTCGGCCTACTGGGCCACCTAAGTCATCTTCTGAGGTGTCTTCTGAAGTACCTGTTATTGTTTTTGCTAGTGCGCTGGTTAGAATTTACAAAGGTTTTGAGTCACCTGCTCCAAATCTATTTTCCCATACTCCCTGTTATGTTTTGTATGTGATTTTGTAGTGTGCAAGTGTTTTTAGTAATGCACACATCATATTATAATAGAAACGCCTGGAATTATTGTAAAGGAGCTAGACACAAAGAGTTCTGTGAGTTCAGAGGGCAAAGAGTTCGCCCCAGCAGGGAGCATGCTGTGGAAGAAGTGGCAGTTGAACAAGAGCGTAAAGGACCTGCCAAAAGCCCTAAGCAGTGAAAGCGGAGGTGCAGCATTCTCGGCAGTGAAGGAGGAGCGTGAGCAGAGCGCACGCAAGGAAAATATCAGTAAGTATTTCTCTTATTGGCAGGATACATGTATACTTTGAAATGTAAGTTGTAGAAAAGATAGTAACTTAAATATATGTGATGTTCCGGATTATGAAAATATGTATTTTGTAATCATAGTTCTACATGGTTACTTGTCAAAGTCAATCATCTGCTCAAGGACCTGATTTCTAAATGCTTAACCTAAAGATAAACATGGACAAAAAAATTATTTTAGCGGGGATATTTAGTACAGTTTTGTGTATATACAAATAGTAAAAATAAAATCATAGTGGTTACATGTACAACTGTCAATAAATTGTAATTCTCCCCAAATTGATCTGTGAATTCAGTGTAATCTCCATCAAAATCCCAGAAGATATTTCACAGAATTTGACAAGCTGATCCTAAGTCATATGGAAATGAAAAGGCCCAGAATGGCCAAAATAATTTTTAAAAGATTTTAACAACTATAAAACTGCTAGAAGAAAATGTATGCTAAAATATTCATGATATTGGATTACGTAGAGATGTCTCAGCTATAACACCAAAAAAGAAGGTTCAACAAAGAAAAAAAGATAACTAGTTGGACTTCATCAAAATTAAAAATTTTTGTGCTTCAAAGACGACATAAAGAAAATGAAAAGACAACAATAGGCAGTAGCCCATGAATCATGAATGTTCTTAATGGTATCTAGAATGGTGAATCCTTTCCAGAAGATTTTCAATTTACTTTCCCCAGATCCATCAGAGGAATCACTATATATGGCAGCTATAAAACAAAACAAAAAACCAAACCCATTGCTGTTGAGTCAATTCTGACTCATAGTGACCCAACAGGACAGAGCAGAACTGCCCCGTAAGGTTTCCAACAAGTGGCTGGTGGATTCGAACTGCCGACCTTTTGGATAGCAGCCAAGCTCTTAACCACTGTGCCAGCAGGACTCCGTGGCATCTATAGCCTAACAAAATGAATTTTAAATAATAAGACTTGAAAGTTGAAATTACTCCTTGATCCATAGGCTGCAGAATGGATATTGTGTAGTAGACATGAAAACAACATTAATCTCCTTGTACATCTCCATCCGAGCTCTTGGGTAACCAGATGCATTTGTCAATGAGCAGTAATATCTTGAAAGGAATGTTTTTTCCTGAGCAGTAGGTCTCAACAGTGGGCTTAAAATAGTCATTAAACCATGTTGTAAACAGATGTGCTGTCATCCAGGCTTTGTTGTTCCATTTATATAACACAAGCAGAGTAGATTTAGCATAATTCTTACGGGCCCTAGGATTTTCGGAATGTTAAGTGAGCATTGGCTTCAACTTCAAGTCACCGGCTGCATTAGCCCCTAATAAAAATCAGCCTGTCCTTTGAAGCTTTGAAGCCAGGAATTGACTTCTCTCTAGTTATGAAAGTCCTAGATGGCATCTTCTTCCAACATAAGGTTGTTCTGTCTACGTGGAAAGTCTGTTGTTTAGTGTAGCCACCTTTATCAATTATCTTGGCTAGATCTTCTGGATGACTTGCTGCAGCTTCTACATTAGCACTTCCTGCTTCACCTTGCACTTTTAAGTTATGGAGATGGCTTCTTTCCTTAAACCTCATGAACCAACCACTTCTAGCTTCAAACTCTTCTTCTGCAGCTTCCTCACCTGTCTCAGCCTTCATAGAATTGAAGAGAGTTAGGGCCTTGCTCTGGATTAGGCTTTGGCTTAAGAGAATGTTGTGGCAGGTTTGATCTTCTATCCAGACCACTAAAACTTTCTCCATATTAGCAATAAGGCTGTTTCACTTTCTTATCGTTCTTGTGTTCACTGGAGTAGCACTTTTAATTTCCTTCAGGAACTTTTCCTTTGCATTTACAACTTAGCTAACTGTTTTGCGCGAGAGTCCTAGCTTTCAGCCTGTCTCAGCATTTGACATGCCTTCCTCACTAAGCTTAATCATTTCTAGCTTTTGATTTAAAGTGAGAGATGTGACTCTTCGTTTCACTTGAACCCTTAGAGGCCATTATAAGGTTATTAATTGACCTATTTCAACACTGTCATGTCTCAGGGAATAGGGAAGAGGCCCAAGGAGAGGGAGAGAGATGTGGGACCAGCCAGTGGGTGGAGCAGTCAGAACACACACGACATTTATAGATTAAGCTCGCCATCTTATATGGGTGTGGTGCATGGTGCCCCAAAATAATTACACTAGTAACATCAAAGATCACTGATTATAGATTACCGTAACAGATATAGTAAAGATGAAAAAGTTTGAAATATTGTGAGAATTACCAAAATGTGACACAGAGACATGAAGTGAGCATATGCTGTTAGAAAAAGCGCGCCAATAGACCTGCTTCACACAGGGTTGCCACAAACCTTCAATTTGTAAAAAATACAGTATCTGAAAAGTGCAATAAAATGAGATGTGCCTGTACATGAAGCGAAGTCTGGCCATCCTCGCTTCTAAAGGAGCATTCTGTCTGTACTTCTTCCAAGACAGATTTGTTCTCTCTGGCAGTCTGTGGTATATTCAGTACTCTTTGCCAACACCATAATTCAAAGGTGTCAATCCTTCTTTGGTCTTCCTTATTCACTGTGCAGCTTTCACATGCATATGAGGCGATTGAAAATACCATGGCTTGGGTCAGGTGCACCTTAGACCTCAAAGTGGCATCTTTGCTTTTTAACACTTGAAAGAGGTCTTTTGCAGCAGATTTGCCCAATGCAATGCGTTGTTTGATTTCTTGACTGCTGCTTCCATGGGTGTTGATTGTAGATCTAAGGAAAATGGTACAGCCAGTTTGGAAAACTGCTTGACAGTTTCTTGAAAAGTTAATCATAATTTTACCATTTGACCCACTCCTAGGTACCCACCCAAGAAAAATGAAAATATGTATCCACACAAAGACACCCATGTGAATGTTCATAGCAGCATTATTCATAGTAGCCAAAAAGTAGAAACAACTCAAATGTTCACCACTAGTGAATGGATAAACAAAATGTGGAATACTGTTCAGCAATAAAAAGGAATGAAGTACTGACACTTGCTTCAACAGGGACGAACCTCAAAACATTATGCTAAGTAAAAAAAACCAGACACAAGGGGCCACATACTGTATGATTCCATTTATATGAAATGTGCCGGAAAGGCAAATGTACAGAAACAAAATTACGTTAGTGGTTGCCTGGGGCTTGTGGTGAGAATAGAGAGTAAGTGTAAAATGATGGAAATGTTTTAATACTGGAATTTGGTGATGATAAAATTACTAAAAATCACTGAATTGTAAACCTAAAATGGGTGAGGTTTATGGTCTGTAAATCATACTTTAATAAATTAAATGTTCTGGAAAGGCTGTAACATTAATATCCAAGACTCTAAAGTCTCTTTATCACATCTGTTTTTGTGGGGTCACTATGAGTCTACGGAATACAAAGCTGTTCCTTATTTGATTTTCAGTGTTTCCCTTTTATATGCCCGCTTTACTGGACTAAAACTTTCTTCAAGGTAGTGTCTCCAACGTTTTTGTATTTCCACCCCCGTAGTGTTTACTATAGCCTTTGCACATAGCTCAAGCTCTTTATCTTGTTTATAATGAAATTTTGTAACTCAAAGGAGGAATTTTTTGTCTTCGCCTTTATTTAACTATAATATGTTGTTACTCTTCTTATAGAGTATATTCATTTTGTCTATGTTAATTTTACTCATTTAGGTATATATGTTTGCTATGAGTCGGAATCAACTCAATGACAATGAGTTTTTTTTAGTAGCTACAGCTGAAGTGTAAATATGAAATATTATATTTTAATAAAATCAGATTAAATAAGGCAGTCCAATTAATGGTTGTATTTTAAAGAAGATGATATTTGCAATTAAAATGAGATATACATTCATCCAGTTAGTCATTTGTTGATTATTTTTTGAAAACCTAGAACTTTCTTATTTTTTTAAAGCAGGGCCTCGTTCACGATCCCCAACAATTTTGGAGATGTCTCCACAACTTATTCAAAAAGAGTTAGAATTTATGGACTTATCTCAATATGTACGGTAAGTTTTGATGAACATGATTATTCAGACATCAATTTCATAAAATTTTGAATACATTGCTATAGGCAGTTGCTATACAACTGAAAATCTGAAGTTAAATCCTTAGTATATCCTCAGTGTATCTGAAGTTTTAGAAGAACGTGAGTTTATATCTCAAATTTAGCAAATATTTTATTAAATCCATCATAAAAGCATTTAAATGTTTTCTGTAAATATTTAATCTGTAGTTCAATTGAGGCAAGTTGATCTACAAAAAATTCCTATTATACCTATTGGCATTATTTAATTAGATTCAGTTTTCTTAAGAACTATCCAATAGGATTAGTAGAAAGAGAGTTACTCAAGCATGCTTATGAGTTTGGAAACATCATAATTATTTAGCTGCATAAATTCAAAAGGAAAACCTACAAGATTTTCTCTGTCTTGCCAACACCAATTCCACAATCACCTCACCAAATGGTGTGTTCAAATTTACATGTATTTTCCTAAAATACCAGTGACTCAATAAATGAAGCATAGCCCACTGAAAAATAATGGTTAGTTCTTTATATTCTTAATGTTTGACACAGACCACCACACTGTTGTTATAATTTTAAATCATTTGAGTTTTGAAGCAAATTTCATTCCAGAGTTCCCAAATGATTTATATATCTCTTTTGATGTTTTTATAACAAGGAAAACAAACGCCGATACTCTGCTGCAGACAGAAGAACTGAATCAGCAGCAGGCCATGCAAAAGGCAGAGGAGGTTCATCAGTTTCGACAGTATAGGACCAGAGTACTTAGCATTAGAGACATTGACCAAGAAGAACGTTGTAGGTTAAAGGGTGAAGTCCTGGATACGTATGGGGAAATGCGGGTGAGTCTAACAGTGCACACATGGATCACAATTCACAAATTCTTTGTTATATTAGAAAGAGATCATAGACTCATATGTCAGGGTAGAAAGAAGCCTTGAAAACATTTAGTTTTACAATTCACAACTTCTGGGGAAAGATGACAAATTGATTATACACATCTAATTTCACTCCCTCTCT